CCCTCAGCATAAGAAAGACACGGACCTGTTGGAGCGGGTCCAGAGGAGGGTCACAAAAGTGATCAGGGGGATGGAACACATCTCCTATGAAGAAAGGCTGAGAGAGTTGGGGTTGTTCAGCCTAGAGAAGAGAAGGCTTTGGGGAGAGCTTCTTGCAACCTATCAATACTTCAAGGGGGCTTATAAGAAAGATGGCGGCAAACTTTTTAGCAGGGCCTGTTGCGACAGGACAAGGGGGAATGGCTTTAAACTAAAGGGGGTTCGATTTAGACTAGATAGAAGGAAGGAATTTTTACGCTGAGGGTGGTGAAACACTGGCACAGGTTTCCCAGAGAGGTGGTGGATGCCCCATCCCTGGAAACATTGAAGGTGAGGTTGGACGGGGCTCTGAGCAAGCTGATTTAGTTGAAGATGTCCCTGCCCATGGCAGGGGGGTTGGACTAGATGACCTTTAGAGGTCCCTTCCAACCCAAACTGTTCTATGATTCTATGATTCTAAATGTGGCATATACATTGAAATAAGATTTTATGCTCTATAATTTAAAAATCTTTGCAGTAGTACTTAACTGTATACCTTTTTCTTAAAAGTATAGTAGTATGTATCAGTAACTGTTAGAATTATAGGGTTATTTCTTAAAAACGACAAAGTAAGTGTTGACTGAAGTTTTTAATACTGAACATTTAGGAGTAATTTGCGATGCTATAAAGTGCTATTTGAAATACAGCAAAGGACATGTTTACTGCACGTGTATATGACACATGACATGTATCATGTGCTGCAGAGTGTAATTAAATTCAAGGCAATGGGATCTTGCCATGGAATTCCCAGTAAATTCTGCTAAATATATAGATGTAAATAAGTTGTCTCCACTATGTTGGTGAAGTGCCAATTAAATCCATGCTACTAAGCCTTATCAAAATTCTTCAAGCTAGTAATAGATTTGCTATCTGACACTGCTAAATTGCATACCACAGTTAATAGAATAAACTGTAATTTTCCCAGCAATCCGGGTTGTTACTCAAAATGTTTCTTATAAGTCTAGTCAGTGGTGAGGCAACTAATTTGCTGAATGAGAAAGCAGCAGCTGCCAGCCACACCGGGGCATCAGCTCAGAAATCAGAGGTACTAGAGCACACAGTTGATTCACATGAAGACTACAGCAAGAATAACTAAGGAAGTGAAGCCTTAGAGAAACATCAGCATTTGAAGACTACTCTTAAGTGTTAGGGTTTCATGAGGTGCACCTAGAACACTGGGGAAAGAAATTTTGATCTAATAAATAACTGCTTTCTTGTGCAAGTGAAGAATTTCAGCTGATAAAGTCTTTTGGAATAGGGTTAGTTGCCTTTTAGACTGCTGAGTGGTCATGATGGTCTCAAGTCATACCACGGAGCCTTCTTCAGAAGTGAACTTCCTCTGCACCACAGTGGCAAGAGTCAGGGCTACAGAGAAAACACCTTTTCAGAATTGTCAGTGTACATCATATTATCTTAAATTAAGATTACTTATCCTTTTGGAAGTTTTTGTTGAGTTGTACCGTTTAAGCCATTTTTAAAAGATTATGCTATAGCACAGCCTCAAAGGAATACATACCCTAGCTTGACAAATCCATGTTTATAAGGAAAAGAATTTGAGTACAGTCCATCTACTGGAGGATAGATTTGTAATGCTTATCCCTGTGTTCACCTAAGACATACAGTCACAACAAAGTCAACTCTGCGGAGTGTCTGATTACACTACACAATTTCTCTAGAGACAACACTCATATTAGGCAGAATATTTTAATTCCATATGAATTTTAAGATTTTTTGTTCATTTTTTGTGATTTGCAAGAAATAGGGGAGAGAGAGCACGGACCAAATGTGGGCTGCCAATTAGGCCAATGATCCATAGAGATATATGTAACTTTAATCAGCAGTCATAGTTTCCCCCAGCCAAATAGTTGTAATTCTCCTCTCCCCTCTAATAATCCCAGCCACAAATAAAATCCATCTGAATAAAAAATTACTAGTTCCTAAGAACATGTTTTAGAGAGGCAATAATTGTTTTCACAGAAGGCGAAGGAATAGAAATTCAGAAAAATCTCTCTGGGCACCTACAATTATAGTTCGTAACTTCTAGGAATCGTAACTTTACTTACATATACAAGCAGCTGCAATCAACCTGACTGCGTCATATGGCGGCTCACAATGAGGAAAAATTGGTTGAACAATATAGTTAGCAAATGTGATTGCTATCACTGCCTGAGTTGTTGGTTCAATAATTAGCAAGGAAGACCAGAGTCTGATGAAGGCCACAAAGGCACCAAATGCTTCCAGGATATAGGCGTAACTGGCTCCAGATTTAACGATGGATGTTCCCAATTCAGCATAACACAAAGCTCCAAACAGCGAAAACATCCCACCGAGCGCCCAGATGACTAGAGAGAGTCCATAGGAAGCACTGTACATTAACACACCTCTGGGTGATACAAATATCCCAGAGCCGATCATGTTCCCTACAATTAAAGAAATTCCATTTAGTAACGTGATTTCTTTTTTCATCTGCATTTTTTCACTCGTCTCTGCCATATTGTCCATTTCAGCTTTTCCATTCTTAGTTCTGGATTTTTTATCGCAGCATATTCGCCAGGGGGCTGGCATCCTCAACTATTATTACCTGAAAAGAAGAGCAGAGAGTATCTTTTGTAACGCACATGGCATCGGAGACACGGGTAAGATAATTAGAATACAAGGCATAAACAGTACAAAGAACAATTATTTTGCCTGCTTTTATCTTGCAGTCTAGGAAGCACATACTAGTGAATTTTCTTAACTTTCACTGTTCCGTACCTTTTTAATGGATAAATGTGAGTTCACTGTCCTTGGTTATAGGTCCTGAAGCTTTCATGAACTCTCAGTTCACTTTTATTATTTATAGAATCATAGAATCATAGAATCATTGGATTCTATTATCTATTCTATTATATTCTATTATCTATTATCTATTATCTATTATCTATTATCTATTATTCTATTATCTTGGATTGTAATTCTACATTATGTTATTGAAGTTATCTTAGGGAAGAAGGAGACACTGTACCCCTGGAAACATGTTCTAATACAGCTGGAGTGTCCCCTACAGGTATACCTCTCCCTAAATTTTGCTCTCATCCCAGGAAGAACTTTATTTCATTATTATTTGTTTCATTAAATCACATCCATCTGAAAATTATCTGCTGAGGAACACAAAAGAGAGAAAAAGATACTCAAAACCTCCAGCCTCAGGAGGTTAATGTTAATATGAGGATAAAGACAAGAGCTTTAGCTGTTCCTAGAGATGAGACTGCTGCTGCAGTCAATAATGCAGCTTGTTTAGTTATTAACCTCACTTGACTTCTGGGTAGAAGCCACTAGCATGCATAGGGATTTGAGTTTTGAACACCTCGTCCCTGGAACACTTTTGTATAAGGGAGTCCAACAAAACACGATTGTAAAAGCTTCCCGTTCCGGTGCAAGTACACTGGGAGCTGGGAAAAATGACGTAACTGTGTAGCTGCATCGATAAATCAGCCTCGTGCACACATCGCACCCCTCTGGGGCTGAGGTCCTCAGGGATGGGGAAGGGAAATGTAACGGTCAGGACTGCAGTGACTGTCTCAACTCTTTGGTCCTGCTGACTCATAACGATGTTTACTTAGAACAATGACTTTTTTTGGTGCCTGTCTCAAAAGAAATTTATTTCTCCTTCCCTTCCCCCCTCCACACACACTCTAAAACACTTCCAAAGAAAAATTCCTCAAAATCCTATGAAATAAAGCCAAGTTCTCCGAGTAAAACAAAGCTCCTCCACATGACACTGGGAGAAAACATTTGATCACAAATTTATATTGTTAAAACGTGGGTCAATGGCCAGTTTAAAACAACCTGCCCTCCCCAAACTTCCCAAAAGGTTTGCTTTCCTTTGTAAAGTATGTCTGTTTTAGCAGCCCTGAGTAATTTATAATTATATGTGTTCTTTTCCAGCTTTTTTTGGTGCAACTTAGTTTCCTAGTTGATCAAATAACTAATGAGGCCTGATGAGGATTAAAGATTAAAAGATGTCAAACTCTCTTTAAAGATTAAATGCTTTTCTCATCCCAATGGCACTTTCTCTAACTGCAGGAGCACTGTGGGAACACTGGAGTAAAGTTAAATATTAATTCTTGCCATAGGTGCTCAAGCGTGACTGCTGAGTCTCCCATCTTTTGCTGACCTCCTCTTCACACACGGGTGACTCCTCTTACTTCTCACTTTGTTCCTCTAAGAATAAAAAACGTCACCTTCATCTGGGGGGAGGAATTTCAGGCATCCAATACACCAGTCATGTATCTTCCTTAAAATTCCTGATAAGCATTCCCAGTTTCCTACCACTAACACAATTTTTCTGACTGTGTGAAAGAAAGGAGGAGAAAAAAAGTTGTCATCCCCCCCCCAAAATATGAGCTAATACTTCCAGAACCTCCTGGCTCCATTTCTGCTCTCCAGGGCTATATGAAATGTTGGCAGAAATGCCCTCCTGGGATTGCAGCTGTCTGGAGAGCCCCTCAGGACAGCAGCATGCTAGAAATTTAGGCAGAGCTCTGTATTAATACTACTTTGGCAGCAGAGCTGGTTTAAAATCACCTTGTGCTTTTTGTGCCTGATCTGGGAATTTTTTTTTTTTTTTTTTTTTAAATATGGGTCATTCAGAGCTCTGGCTCTGAGCCAAAATGCACAAATGTTTAAGTGGGTACAGCTCAAATGGAGTGAGAAGCAGCTGTTCCCGAGGTGATGTGAATGTGGAGCTATGCAAGTAGTGATCAAAAACAATGGCTATCAGTTTTCCTGAAATGAAATCTCTCTGATAAATGAGATAAAGTTATTTTTCTGTAAAGTAGGATACATAATGCAATTGGTAGGTTGTCACTAGTACAGGTAACTTGCATATATGATATCAAACCTGAACTTTGATGTCTAGTGCGGATGACCCGGTAGCTAAAGGGAATTTGAGCATTTAAACTGGCAATGCTACCTGAGTCTAGTAGAACTTTTACAATCTGTAGCTTTCACGAGAGCACAAAGGTAAAGATTAAATTATTTTCTTAAGTAACACAATGTTTTGCACATTTTTTTCTTCTCTCTTGTGCTAACAAAAGATTATTTCAGATCTCTAAAAATGTGTAACCAGCGCTGGGTAGGGAAATATTTCTTTCATAAATAAGTGATTGTGGATGAAGCCATTTTGAAAGAAAAACAGTTAGAAGAAGAAACAGTTTAAACTTCGGTACTTTGGGAGATGACACGTTAGCAAAACTTTTAACCAGACCCTGAATTAAGTCCACGAACAGGTATAGCCTGAGAATCAAAGGATAAGAGATTCAGTTTCCATAACCAAGATGTGTAACTTCACTGTAGTTAAGTTACCTGAATTTATATCAGCTGAAAATCTGCAAAAAAGTAGCAATTTGAGAACAAAATCTTTCAAACAGCTTCTGCCGGTCCTGTCGCCCCGTGCCCCCACCAAAGCCAAAAGCAATATTCCCACTAGCTTTGGCAGTGCACTGATTTAATTCAGTGGGGTCACAATGTTGAAGTTGTTATTGATTTCTTTATTCAGGACTATGTCTTATTTAAATAAACAAGGTTTGTCTGAGGCAGGACTCATGGTAGTTCTTAGCAAAGTCTTCATGTTATTAAGAAAATTAGCAGAATATAGGAAATAATCTACTGTACGTATTTTCCTGTATAATAGCAAAAGGAGAAGAATTTTTTGTCAAATGTGTAAAGAATTTACTGCTGTTACAATCCAGGCAGTGATGAAAACAATTTGAGGATATGCCCAATGTCTGTTGCCGTGGTCTAACCCTTTCCCTCATTTATAGCTTCTGCTATTTTGGTCCTACTGAACCTGGCCCATAGTCCTGCCCTACTGTCATTACTGTCACTTCATCTTCATCCTATCATCTCCCCTTTCTGGGACCATCACTGCTGCTTCCGCCTCAAACGGGTGTGCCAAAAAGCTTAAGCTAAGAAGCCTAGCTGTTCAAGCATGACTCTCTTCTCTGTCACTTGGGCATCTCTGTAGGTCACACTTTGAGGGTGCACATAATCCAAGTGAGAGCCAGTACTAACTAAGGCCTGGGAGGGCTTACATGCAGGGGACAACCATCAGAGCTGTAACAAGTTGCCTTCTTACAGGGGGGTGGCCATTTTCAATTGGAAAATCCTGTATTATAACAGGTAACAAATCCTTACGGTGAATCCTCTAGCGGAGAGGAATTCAGAGTGGCTTCCTGAGAACGGAAAGATTTAATTTATGCAGTAACTAAAAAAAGGGAGGTTCTTTGCATTCTGCTTTAGCATAGCTAACCCTACTGCAATAATAAAACTTCATGGCATAAAAAAGTCTAAGTACAGGTATTTCAGTAGCTCTTGTGTATGAAGTCTGAAGAGCAAGACATAAAAGCTTCCTGACATGAAGGAAGGTCCCTGCTCTCTTGGTCTCCATGAACTGTGACAAGCAGAAAGAGCTATTGCTCTCTGGAGATTCAGACGGGCATCAACATGCTGATATGCCTCAGAGGCTGCAGCAGGCTAAATGAAACAGCTGCAAACACTTGCCTGTGCCTTGTGTTAGCAAGTGATCTCTACTACAGAACTTCAGAACCCTGTTTTCATGCAGGTCCTGCTCTTCCTTAGGGGCTCCCTAAACAAATAGAGGAAATTTTTCCTCTCAGAGAAAAAGCAGAATGCCTTGAGAGCACAGAGAAGCATAATGGCCCTAAACCCGTTGCAATCTCATGTTTACCTCCCAGCTGTAAGCACAAAGAGCAAGAGAAAGGAACTTTTAGACTGACACCTGAGAAGTTAAGGAAAACAGTAACACCATATACAGGTAATTCTCAATAGCGCATTTTTTAGTCAAGCCACTGCCAGAAGTCATACAGAAAAGCGAAGGAAGAAGGGACACGTTGATAGTAGTTGAAAACCAAATTTGAAATCAAAGACAGTTCTTCCATAAATTAGTGCAGGACTGGTTTGGCAGGGCAGGATTTTCTCAGGCACTTCCCATCCTTCAGGGATCTACAGCTCGAGTGATTGCCTCCATCTTGAGGAGGTAATTAACCCTTGCCAAATGATTAAGCAAGGCTTGGTCAGGGGTTATGGAAGTGTGACATCTTATGAACTGCTCCATAGATGTCCAGAGGGACCAAGCTGCCTCTGTTTGTTAGGATGTTTTGAAATTCTCAGCTTTTAATTCAAGAAATACTAGTAAATAAATCAGGGGCTCTCTCTCAGAGACCAAATGTTATTCCCTTCAGCAGATTCCCTTGGAAACTGAGGGCATTTAGAAAGTCATCTCTTATCAAAGATGTTGGAACATGCTGGACATCAAATTTACCCCTTAATATTATTTCAGATAATTTCATGGCCTTTTCTTAGGTGATTGTTGCCTACTGCCACATAATTTCTCAATAATGAAAGTCTGCTATGCCATCAATGAACATAGCAAAGTCAAACCAGGCAATGAAACTGATAAAACCCCGATATTTTCTAGTTTCAGTTAGAAAATGAATGACATTAAGGATAACATTTTAAAGCAAAATTTAGCATATTTTAATTATGCTTTATTAAAAATCAATATATGTGTAGAAAGCCATTTTAAAAGTCATGAACAATCTCTTATTTTCTCCAAGTACACGCTGGGTAATTTTTTCCTGCGTGTAGCAGATTGACCAAAAATAAAAAAACCACCCAAATATATACATTTATATTAATAGCTATTGGAACATGAAATCAGATGAGCCAGCAGTTTTCAACATGACCAAAAACGTGTAGATCAAACTTCAAAACACTGTTGCTGAGCATGAGCATCAACGGATCTTAAAGGGAGTATTCCTGGCAGATTATACTGTTGAACATTTTCCAGTGTGAGAGGAGATCAAGCAAACAAAACAAGATTATGCATTATGAAGGAACAGCATAAAATAAAACATTCTTAGCAACAATAATAAAAAACCAAACAACAACAACAAATCCACTTTGATCTCCTCTGAAGAAAACGTATCCCACTCGGTAGGAAACGAGCAGATTTCCTTTTGGTTTTTAAATTTTATGTTTATAAAAATGCTCAGTGAATTAATGCTTCACATGCTCCAATCATATTACTGTGGTCAGAGGCTGGTTTTCCCGTAGGAGGGACTTGCTCCACCCCCAGTACTCCATTCTCACCCCAAAGCAAATCAGGGAGGATATTTGAGTGACGAGCTACTGTAGTCCAAATCTAAGAAAGGAATTAAAAAGAGAAGGTAGCAGCTTACCAGAGGGTAGGTGATACGCTTGCTTCCTTTAGCAGAAGGGCTACTGCAACTGAATAGTGACTCTCTAGCTGCTGCTTTAAATAAGCACACATCTGTTTCACCAGGACGGGTAAGTTAACACTAATATGAATAGCCTCTTCTCTCACTCTTGGTTTAGCCTTGCCTTTAGCTGCTATTTTTATTACAGTAGCGTGAATACTAAAATCAATGAGAACTTTCAAGAAAGAAGATCCCAGACTCTCCTGGAATGTGGTTTCTTCAAACAACCTCAACTGAGGAAATTGGCAGGCCGAAGCAGGCAGCTTAAATATCAGCTGCTCTCTAGAAAGTTGGGATAGAAATAAGACAAAAGGAAGGTTGGGGGGGAAGAAAAAAAAAATCCTTCATCCATGTGTCACTGAAACCAAGAACAACACTTTCCCAGATGTTAATGTGAAACAAATGCAGTCTAATTCCTTCTTGTTAATTTAGAAAACCGCAATGACACTTTTTACTAACACTGTACACAAAGAAGATGTTTATTCTTGTGGCATAACTTGCCAAAACAGAAAGATTTTCAGAGTGGGGAGACTAACAAAGAATGGTAGTTAACTGAAAATCATAGGTATTACTTCATTTCAAACAACCTCATGTTTTTCTGTTTTCTTTTTTTTACATATTTTCTTTTAAATTTAACCTACTCATTGTTAAATATTTATCAACTCAGTTATTTTTCTTAACTGGAGAATTATACATCTGTGGCTTTTCTAATGATTTATGACATGATGCATGATACACAAAACAGGCTGATCTGGTGTTAAGATCTTATTTTAATTAAATAAGCTTTAAAAAAATCTCTAAGATAAAAAATAAGCAAAGAAAGAAATTACTTACCCAATGTATTCAGCTTTGTCTTCTGAAACAATATGTTGCCCTGTCTATGAAGTACTTTTGGAAAGCCAGTATGGTATACAGCACAATATCTACCGAAACGAGTAAACACCCAGAAAATAAAGTCTTCTGGGCAGAGCAAAAAGTTAATGAATGCAAGAGCACTAACCTGGGATTTTTGTTTTCCATAAACGACAAGGCCAATAGCAAGGCAAAAATTTGTACTCATGTGTCAAAGGGCATTTGGAAGGAGCTGATCCAGCAGGTCAAGAGTCTTAAGTCACTGGACTGAGTTGAGGCACCAGGTAACAGGACTTCATCAGAATGGGCTACTAATCCACAGTGGAAAGTGAAATAATTGAATTCAAACACAGATATCCCTCCAATCAGCCTCACTAATACAACTGGAAAACAAGCAGGACAGTTGCATCATGTTGCACGTTCCATACTGTAACCCGCAGCGACCCAAGAGAATAATAAAACCAACCCAAATCTTCCTATCGTAAGTCAGTGCTCCTCCTATTTTTTCCTTTTAAAGTAACATCTTGTAAAAACATGCTTTCTGTGATAGATTGAGACAGGTCTACAGTTAATGTTTACACAGAAACGGCTGTGCTTTTTTAAAACACTGTTCAAAGCAGGTATGTGACAAGTTTTTTGAAAAACAGCCTCCAAGTTGCTTTATGTTTATCTGTGAAGGAGTAATTTATCCCTGAGAGCTCTGTAAGTCTGCCTGAAAAGATTGCACAATTCCAGCTGCCTGCAAGTCTGTGGTTACGTACATTATAATATATCAAGAAACATTTTGGCAACAGAATTGTTTTGCAGGGATGTTGTTTTCTGCTGGAAGACCAGAGAGGCTGAGTGCCACGTTCTTTAATCAGAGCCTCTCTCATCTTAAAATCTTTTTCTTCTGTCAGGGCAGTGTTAACAAACTATAGACTAAAAACCAGAATGCATATTTTCAAGAATGCATAATTACTTTCACTCTGAAATTTCAACTTGAATTTGTCCTGTTTCTGATTTGGGGCACCAAACTGGTTTTTGATTGTGTGCTACACTGAGGGACTCTGTCATCAGACATTTGTCCCCTCTTAGAGCTAGAGAGCACCTTGTATTGTTCATATATCCCCCTCCTAAGCCATCTTCAGCCCTTTGTTTTAATTCTGTAGAGGTTGCATGTTGGAACATGAAACAAAACATTTTCTTCAATAATGCTTCCCATATTACTATTAGTCCGACCCTGATGGTTACATCCTACTTGACATTTCCCACAAATTTACAGTAACAGCACATAAATCAGCATTGAGCAATCATAAAGCATGCAGTGTGCATAAAAAACGTTTCGTTCTTGAACGTTTCTTCTGTGAACAAAAAATCTAGTTCCTTTGCAAAGGAAGATTACACTTATCTGCATTTTAAGTAAGCAGGATGGATAATGTGAAGAAGTGAATATGACTTCCTTTATGACGTTTTTCTCATTCATTTTTACAGTCTTGCAGAATTTGACTAGCACCTCTGCAGTGAGGATTCTCCTGTGCCAACTTACTGCTCATAGCAATTCTTCTGTGTGTTACAGCTACACGTATGCACATTTGCTCATGGAACAGCAAAGTGAAGTACACTTCCTGAATAAGCCTGTGACATTTTCTGGTTTCTTGCCTACACCTCCATTACCGCTCGGGAAGGTTTTTCATACTCTGCACTGGAAACAAGAGTACTTCAACTATTTCCAGAGCCCTCTTCATTCATACCATTGCCCAGATGCAGCAAACAGTTCAGCTGCACCTCTGCCAAGTCCTGTGCTTCCTCCTGTTCCTTACCTCTGCCCCCTGCATCTTAGTGCTCAGCCAGCACAGGCTCCTACAGTCCTCGTCTACAACAGATGCACTTACAGTTAACCCTGATTGAAAAGATACTGCCAAACACCCTCCGCCATTAGCTGCCAGAGTCTGAATGACAAACAAAGGCCACCATTTGTGTTGTCTTGGTAAAATCAGATCTTTATTTACTTTCCCATGAAGTTGATGCAGGATAGAGCATAGTGCACAGACCATGCCAAGGAACCTCTACCAGCCACGTTAACTCAAGGTATGGGAGCAGAACACGAGGATCAGCAAGGCATTGCCCATTCAGCAATGAACTCCATAGCTGGTGAGTGCGGCAACAACACGTGCAGGACTGAGCCCTGGATGGGCTTGCTCATCATTATATGCACATACCTGTTTAGGTTGGCACTAGTGCAGAGTATTTCTAAAGTTTTCTTTTTGAGGAGTAGCAGCACATCACCAAGACCAGATGGCTTCCAGGTGCTGTGAAGGAGGACAAGTATAGTAAAGAGTGTGAATAATAACCTAATAACACAAGATATTCAGTGTAGTCAAAATTAAAGATGATTACAGATACTTGAAGCAGTTACACTACTAAGTGACTAGGTGCTAAAATGGCATATAAAATCTAATGGTAACAAGTGCAAAATAATATGTATAGTCCTATGTTTCTATTTTTCCCCATGTACACGTAAAAAGATGCTTTTACATGTACATTTTATAAGGCTCTCAATGAGCTATTAGAACTTGGAGAAAAGCTTTTATTGTCAGCAAGGACAGTGCTCTGAAACATCAGCAGCATTCCTCCTTGGAGTGGAAAAGCTGAAAAATCTGTTAGGAATTGCTAATGAAGAAATGAGGAGCGCACAAAATACTGTTGTGCATCAAAAGGGGGGGGAGGGGGCGGGCAGAAAAAAATCAATCAGCTTTTCAAACAGTAGTCTTCCTGAGTGCTTGCAGCCATTTCTTTCAGAGAGCAGGTGCCCACCTGCCACATCCACAGATCTGGCATGACTCTGCCTGACTCTCCTGGCTGACCCTGAAGCTGCTGCCACAGTCAAAATCAGTGCTGAGTGTTCCAGTTGCACAGAAAACTGTTCCTCTTTCATAGTACTGGACTTAAACAGAAACGTCAGACTTTGACGTATTGGCTCATCTGTATAATTGTCACCTCCACACACCCTTCACACACCCTGTGTGGCTGTGGTGGGTTGACCTTGGCTGAATGTCAGGTGCCCACCAAAGCCGCTCTATCACTCCCCTCCTCAGCGCGACAGGGGAGAGAAAATATAAGGAAAGGCTCGTGGGTCGAGATAAGGACAGGGAGAGATCATTCACCAATTACCGTCATGGGCAAAACAGACTCACCTTGGGGAAGTTAGTTTAATTTATTACCAATCAAATCAGAGTAGGATAATGAGAAATAAAAACAAATCTAAAACACCTTCCCCCACCCCTCCCTTCTTCCCGGGCTTAATTTTACTCCCGATTTTCTCTACCTCCTTGCCCCCAGTGACACAGGTGGACAGGGAATGGGGGTTGCGGTCAGTTCATCACACGTTG